TTGGGTTAAAGTGAGAAAGGTGCTTAGTGAAAGAGATAAGAATGCGTCTTAGCCATCGGATCAGATGATCCAACAACTAAAAAAATCGAAATTTATATCTTCATTAAAGGCAATGCAGCAATTTTACACACACCAAAAAACTGGGACACATGCCAACACACATCAACCCACACAAGGACCCCACCACACATCTCATCTCTATATCTCATTTACTATTTTTCTCTCTCTCTCTCTCTCACACACACACACATTGTTGGTATATGTGTCCTAGAGACAATCTTTTAAGGACATATATGCATGATCACATTAATAATTATATTAGATTATAATTATGGTATTGCAATTAATTAAATAAATGTTTGATTGTTTGCAATTTATTAATTAATTGATCCCTTGAGTTAATACTGTCATTAACAGAGTGAGATGTTAATTGATAAAGTATAATTCTGAAATCGCCTAAGTCGATATCATTACGAAAGGGATATTAATGATATGCGATAGATTGACATGTGGTTTGCATCACATTCTTTGAGAATATAGTATGTCTCACTGCTATGAATAATTGTTATTCGTGATGGACACATGGATACTTTGGAGAGTATTGGCATACCTTACCGATAAACCATTTGTTTATGTGTCTATGGGAGTATCGGTGTGTGGAATAGTGTAATAGTCCTTTGACTTGAGGTCAATACGCAATTCATGTATAGAGTGATTTACTCAGACCTAGTCCAACACTTACGCCCTTATGGGTAGATACGGGCTTGTGTTGGGTAGATCACGACTACAAGAAATTTCGGAAAATATGACGATAAAATTTGTCATGTAAACCTTATTTTTTGTCACATCAGTACAGTGATGACGAAATTTTATCGTCACAGAAATCGTCACCGTAGCCGCGTCATATTAGGTGTAAGTGACGAATTTTGAATTTGTCACCAAATATTTCACTTTTAATGACATTTATAAGTTTCGTCATGTTATTTGGTCATTTTTCGTGACAATAATTTCGTCACGTTTATTATGAGAATTTTGTCATCTAAACAATTATTTTGTCATAAAAAGACAAGTTTTAAATGACGAAAACTTAACTTTGTCATCTAAATATTTTTGTTTTGTGACGAATTTTATTTTTTTTATCGAATTTATAAAATTTCAATGACGAATATCTTTGTTGCATTAGTTATAATAATCGTCATATTTCATATAATTCGTCATGAAAGAGTTGTTTTATAATTACAAATGTTGTTCGTCACAAAAAGAAATTTTAAATATGACGATAACAAAAGTATCACAAAAAAATAGAAGTAGTGACGAAATATTCATTGTCTCCAAAAAGATACAAAAACGACGAATTCTTTTGTCATTAAATTATTAGCTCTATGACTACAAAGAAAATGAATGTCATCAAAAGCTTGAGATATAATGACAACAGAAGTTGGCATGAAAAGGTAAATATTTAGTGACAAAATTTATTGTCATTTAATATTTTATATGGTGACAAATCCAAACAAATACATCACAATTACATGTTGTCAAAAAAAGATTATTTTCAATGTCAATTTAAAATTTATCACTATTACAAATATAATAATTGTCATTAATTGCAGATATTTAGTGATAAATTTATTTGTCATGAAATATAAAATCAATGACAAAATCTCTCGTCATTCTAAACTATTATGTCATTAAAAAGAAAATACAATGACAAAATCTTTATAATTAATATATGATGGTAATATGTGCTAGATGAACAATTAAAAAAAGGACAATAATAGAAATTTTGCTAATTAAAAACATAAATAAACGAACTAACAATCTCACAATGTTCCAAATAAAAAATAAATAAAAAATCCTAACAATCTCATATTTTGTTCCCAGTGGCAGCATGAAAGCCATAAGTTTGTCGATATTTGCACCTTGTTGACTTAGTTGGTCTTTCAAATCACTAACTTGCTCCTTAAGCTCAATCACTTCAGATTCTTTTTCACGCAACTTTTCTTGTGCCTCTAGAAGTTCCTTGGCCATTCAAGTCATATGCTTTACGTTTACTTGGCGGCCTCGGGCCATACCCATAACCTTTATATAACCAGCTCCATGGCCAAGAATCTCGCACTTTTCTCAGCGCATTGTTCATAATATTTTCTCTCCTTGATATCATCAAATCCTGAAAATTACCAATAAAAACTATATAACCAAATTGATATTCATTTCAACAATTAGAATAAGAGATTGTGTATAAAATCACAAAAAAGGACTATCACAAGAGCCAAACTGACATCACATAGACTATCTACAAAAATCACAAAAAGACATCACATAGACTATCTACAAAATGAAAAAAAGGACTTAATAGACTATGTATAAAATCACAAGAGCCAAACTGACAGTCTTCACAGTAAACTAAATTAATAACAAAACTTATACAGTGTACAACTTAAAAGAGGCAGTTCAATGATTGTGTTAAGGCATTTAAAGATACAGGCTAAGGCGATTCAGTGACCCATTGCTAAGGCATTTAAAGATACAGGCTAGGAAAGATGAATGGTTTGTAAAACTAGTAAATTTGGTACTTGAAATAATGCTTCATCAGGTAACTAAAAAGTTTGCTGGTTGTGTAGTGCATTACATTATCTCATTGCCACCAGACAACTTATTCTCAACTTCTGCAACTGAAATGGTGAATACAGTGGTCGCATCATTCAATGTGCTTGAGTTAAACAGTGGATTACAATGATGTGCTTGAGTTTAGCAGGGGACTACAAATAGAACATAAGATTTTGTGAACTAATATTTCTCAATAAACATCATTACCTACATTAACTAGACTATCAGACACACATAGATACACACATATTTTGTTAACTACTTAACTTTAACCAANACAGGACATTTATACAAACTATAAACATATTAATGTAGATTGTAGATATTAAAAAACCGTACAACCCATTGAACCCAAATTAACTAAGGATATTAACTCAGCACCATTTCCATTGAAACCAACCTGAGATCCATTACAGCCCACAATACTTGTCAAGAAATAACAACAAAATATAACAAATTTACAAGACATCTAAAGATCTTTCGAGCAAATTAAGACTTCAACATGAAAAAAAAAAATCAATTTCCTGCTTCATCTCACTATAACTCACAGCTAACAAACATTTAACCCTTTTCCTAACAAATCAATTACGTTAAGTATGCATACAACAACAACAACAACATACCCAGTATATTCCCAACAGGTTGGGGTCTGGGGGGTCAGTTGTACGCAGACCTTACCCTTGTAATTATACAAGGAGGTTGTTTCCGTAGCGACCCAAGGTGCATTGCGTCGTTTGATATATTTTTTTCTAGAAACTTCACTAATAGAAGAAGCACTAGAATTGAATTGAGCCATTTTGATCTAGTCCATTATTAGCACTATGCCAGAAGAATTGTCAACAATGACTCTTCCAGCTCCATTTGCAATGGACATAACGTTAAGTATGCATAATAGGATAAAAAAAAATTCAGAAGTCACAAGTACTGATATCTCAAACAATCAACTCATAGTTGTTTACGGGGACAAAACATCAAACACGTAGAAGAATTTATCAAGCATTACATCATTAATTGCCACTTAACAGGCACAAATGTTATCTTTCACTAATCTGAATGAGCACAAATTACCCCGAAGCCAAGTAATCAGATTTTCAACTACAAATTATCACATAAGACAACTACAACATGTTTAGCATGTTTTTGCAACTGTAGAATCGCAACGGTTTCGGAGTATTAGATACGTACCAATGATATATGCCTATGTTGATTCCCCTGATGTGATGGAGGATCAGGAGTGCTTCCATTTTGATGACTTTGATTTTGCATAGTGCTCTCCTTTTGCTGAGTTTGAGGAGTCTGAACTTCTGGCATAAGAGTACTCTCCTTTTGCTGAATAGTTGGCATGTTTCCCTCGAACTTCGGATTCGCAGTTTCACTTCCTGTAGACAAACCATCAGTCATTGGCAATCCCTTGTTCATTTTGTCTGATGCCATATCGGTTTTCTCGTATTGTCTGGTTTCACTCCTTGCTAAACCTCCTGCCTTCGTCATGTGTTCTATGAGACTCTGCCGAGAATTATTTGGTATGATTTTTGCTTTTGGATTTCGAACTAATCCAGGAGCCATTTCCAACAATCTTTACGAGGTAAAAAAAAAAATCCATCGAAGTCTGAGGCAAAAACAAATCCATCAGAAAGAATGAATAACATAAGCCAAGTAATTAATTATTCAACACTAATGTAAGGCACCACCAAACAATCTACTATTGGGTAAGAAATTCTGTAAAACATAAAGAAGCAAGATAATAATAGAGTCTTCAGACCTCGAGTTCATCTAGAACAGATTGATGCAGAAAAGAAAAAGACGGGTTGTAACTTTGTTAATTGTTAGCCTAATATTGGACTTAAATGAGGGAGAGGGAGAGGGGAGATATTATAGCAGAAGATACAATCACATTGAATTCAGACTTTATCTACCTTAAATAGATATACCTTAAATAGATAAGAGTACCAAAATGAAACGAGGCAGTGAGCGCCTAACCAAAAAATTTCGCCGCCAATGTTTTAGTGAATAAGATTGGCTAAAATTAACCATATTACCCTTAATTAAGCTAAATTTTAGAACAAAAAATCGAAAAAATAATTAAGCTAAATTTTAGAACAAAAAGAAAAAACCGAAAAATAGGGATGATTCATATGAGAACAAAATGAATGCCCCGCACCTGTGTTGCCCGATCACCATGGGCATGGCAAGCCTCTGCACCGGCGTGACCGACGACCTGACCTCCATCGAGAAGTGGGTGTCCATCGGCCACAACACCTGCTCCTCCACGATGAAGAGTCGGTCGTCCGCTCGCTCCACCCCCAAACCTCACCCTCCGCCGCCTCGTAGACCTTTGTATAACGCACGATCGGCGCCTCCGTCCTCGTCCGCGCCGCCGATTTCGAGCACCAGATGGCAGACTTCATCAATGACGGAGGATTCAATTCATATTCCCTCCTGAAATTGATGCGGTTTCTGGTTTGAAATTGGAAGATGAGATTGAAATCAATATTATTAGTGTCGAGATTTTTGGGCATTTGCAGTTTAATGGGCTGAATTTTGGCTAGATCATATGCTGCTGCAATTTAGGAACGACATGGAGATGAACTATGTGATACACACACAGTGGTTTTGGGGTTATATTTAAATTGGATATTTTATATTCTTAATGGCACATTTTAGGGTATTAATAAGGTTAATAAGGTATATGGCATAATATTGTATATAATTTCATTATATACAAAACTTTGTTAATTATATATTATGCCAATTTAAATCATTCAAATATTTAAGCTAATTAATAATAACTTTTACATATCCATTATATATAAATATGTATTATTTATTTATATACAAAATATTATTAAATATATTAAATTAATTTTTAGAAACGTTTGACTGGTTTAAACTGACTCGATTAGTTGATTTTGAGTGATTTTAGCTAGGGCTGTTATCGAACCGCACCGAACCGAGCTTAAGGTGTTCGAGCTCGAGTTCGATTAATTTTCGAACATGTTCGTGTTCGTTCGATTAGTAAACGAACAAATAATTTTGTTCGTGTTTGTTCGTTTATTGATTCGACACGTTCGTGTTCGTTCGTTTATCTGGTCGAACATGTTCATGAACTATTCGAATTATTCGAGTTGTTCGACAAGTTCGTGTTCGAGTTGTTCGACATGTTCGTGTTCGTGTTTTTTAACTTTTTTTTTTATTTCAATGTCATACAAGTTATTTTATTTATTATTTAATATCTATTCATATTTATATGTTATATTATATATGTATATACTATATATAATATATAAAATTATAAAATATTTGTGTTTTATTTAATATTTAATATATATTCATATTTATATATTATATTATACATGTATATACTATATATAATATATAAAATTATAAAATATTTTTTTTTCGCGAACAATCTATTAGTTCGCGAACATGTTCGTGTTCGTTCGATAATGTTCATGTGTGATTTTACACCATATTTATTGAGTATCTAGAACTTAGTCATTGCATTATTGGTGTATAAATTGCATATTTGTGCTATAATTTTATATCTTGTTGGAGAGGTATTACACGTGCTTGTTTTGTAGATATTTTCACATATTTGTAGCGCTCGTGGCTATTGGAGGCGCATGGTGAGTACCTAGGACCCCCGGGATGATGATAGATTGATGCACGGATGAGAAAAATGGAAGAAACGAGTGAAACGGACAAAAACGAGCAAGCAGGATTGCACGGGCAGTGACACGGGCACCATGCCCGTGTCAGAGGCCGTGTCACCTCAACAGAGACAATTCGAAGCCCAGGGACCTGACACGGGCTACGACACGGACTGTGACACGGGCAGAATGGCCGTGTCGCGCGCGCAGGCTGTTTTTTATATCTTACCTATTTTGAAAAGGAGAAGGGTTTTGGACATTATAAAAGGCATATTTACCCTATTTTGAGGGAGGAACGTGAATACACATTGGAGGAGCCCTATAACACACAAGAGAAGCAATTGGGAAGCAAAAGAAGATCAACCACAAGGGGATCAAGAAGATTGAAAGATCGACGAGATTCCTAGTTTTTCTTTCTTCTTTCCTTTTGAACTTTTATTGATCATGTTGATTTCTAATATGTCTATGTATTTGAATTCAAACATGAGTGGCTAGTTTATTTGATTCTAAGACTTGGTAGTAGATTAATATGTTGGATTTTGGATGATTTATTATAATTGATTGTTTTTCTTTTGAACCCTATTCAAATATTTTGTTCTTGTTTCATGTTTAGCACTTGATCAATGCTTTTACATGTTTGACAATATTGTTCATAATTCGAGAGATGAGTTCAATATTAGGTCTTTAATATTTGACACAATTTACTTGCTTGAATCGAGAGATTAGTAGGTTGTTGTGAGGATATTAGATCTTTTAATCTATTTGTAGTTGAATTGCATGTGTTGAGCGGAGACGCTAATATATGTGATTTAATCTACGGTTTTATCGATCTCGAGAGGGACGATAAGCTAAATTTGTGATCATCTTATAGGGTAGATAAAGGAAAAGTTGTGATATTTTTGAAGGAACCCAATTATTAATTGAAACCAAAGTCTTAGAATCTATCGTTCTCATACATTTTCTTACGTGTTTTTCTAGCTAGTTTCTTCTTGTTGCTTTATTTCTCTTTAATTATATTTTCTTAGTTTAGTTAATCCATCTCATATTTGGTCGTCTAAATAAAGTTGACATTATCATAATCTTGTACTTGATATATTAATTATTTGGTCTCTTGGGATACGACCTTGCTTGCCACATACTACGAGCGAAGCCGTACACTTGCGGTAGAGCTTTAAAAATATAGGCGAACAAGTTTTTGGCGCCGTTGCCGGGGACTAATATAATTATTTATATCAATATTACGATAGATAGTGAAAATTTTAATTTAGATATTTTTATTTATTTATTTTTGGTGACATAATCTCTCATATTCGTGATTTCAGGAAGTGCATGTTAACTCGCTCTAAAGGTGCACAACTAACACCCTTGATTGACGAAGTTGAAGCATTCGCTAGACGCAATAGTGCAACAACTAGAAAAAGAATGGGCAATTCAAAGTGCACAATGGACGAGCAAGAACAACCGAGGCAAGCGATTCGTGACCACTTTCGGCCTCAATTTAATAAGAATTTTGGCGGGATTGCGCATATACCCGTCAATGCGAATAATTTCGAACTGAAGCCCTGCTATATCTCGATGGTGCAAAACAACCAATTTGGTGGACACCCGACCGAGGATCCGAATCAACACTTGACCCAGTTTTTGCAAATCTATGATTTGGTCAAGTACAATGGTGTCTCCGAGGATGCCATACGGCTGCGTCTATTCCCTTTTTCTCTAAGGGATAAAGCTCGGAGTTGGTTGTCGATGATTTCTGATGGGAGCATTACTACTTAGGAAGAGTTGAACCAGAAGTTCCTGCTTAAATATTTTCCTCCAAGCAAGTCGATGCAACTCAAAAGCGAGATTACCCAATTTAGGCAGCAAGACTCGGAGCCTTTATACGAGGCGTGGGATCGATTTAGAGAATTATTGAGAAGATGCCCTCAACATGGTTTTCCGGAGGATCAACAACTTTGTTTCTTCTATAATGGGTTGTTGGGCCAAACGAGAGCCTTTGTAGATGCGGCTGCTGGAGGAGCTCTATTGGCTAAAACACCAGAGGAAGCGTCCAATTGTTGGAAGAGATGGCCATGAATAGTTATCAGTGGCCTTCGGAGAGGACGAACATCAGACGAGTGGCGGAGGTGATGTCTTCTGATCCTATTAAGGAGTTAGCGGCTCAAATGTCGTCCTTGACGACGAAATTGAATGCTTTAGCAAAAGGAGCTGATGAGATGAATGGAGTACAAGGCAACGTGTTACCACCGGATCCTTTAGAAGAGGCTAATTTTATCAATACTCGGAACTTCAACAATTATCGCCCTAATCTGGTGCCGAGTTTTTATCATCCGCATAATAGGAATCATGAAAATTTTTCCTATGGAAATACAAAGAATGTGCTCCAACCACCGCCGGGGTTTAAGGTGGTGAATGGCGAGATTGTCGAAGAGAAGAAGATGGACATGGAAAATATTCTGGTAGCTTTCATGAATGAGACGAGAAATTGTTTCAACAGAGATGAAGAGAAGTTGGACAAGATTGAGAATCATGTGACACAATTGGCTACGACAATGGAGGCTCAAATGAAAAATTTGGAGGTGCAAATTGGTCAATTAGCCAAGGCCGTGGGAAGCCAGCACCAAAGGGGTCAATTTCCTAGCAATACCGAGTTGAACCCAAAAGAGCAATGTCATTCCATCTATCTACGAAGTGAAGAGGAGAAAGTTTGTGATGAGTTAATGAAGGAACAAAGTGTGCTAGCAACTTCAAGGCCTGGGATTACATTTAATTCTAACTTTGGCTCTCCTAAACTCTCTATGCCTTTACCTTTTCCTCAACGACTTGCGAAGAAGAAGGAGA